GTGGCGGATCCCTTCGATGCAAAGAGGCATGATTAAGTACTTCACATCCAACCCAGCTTCCAGTGAGTGTGCCCTTTCTTCTATCATATAAAAAAAAAAAAAGGTTGCAAGCATTACCATTCAATGATTGCATCCGTAATTCTTTCCTCCATCAGAAACTCGCTGCCTTCCCATGGTCCTGTCGTCCTTCAGCCACTACTCCGTTATCCACATGGTGGCCAACATGTACGTGCTGTGGACGTTCTCCTCAGGCATCGTGTCTCTCTTGGGAAAGGAGCAGTTTCTTGCAGTCTACCTGTCCGCCGGTAAGTCGAGTACAGGACTGTGTCTGATAACATTTAATCAAACCCATTATTGAATCATCAGTGAATTATAACCCCACAGTTTAAATATAGGTATTTTAACAACTCAGATGTAACTAAAGGGATAATTTAGAATTTGTTTGGAATAATGTTTTATTTTGCTCTTTTACTGTGTGTTTTCAGGTGTGATTTCCACTATGGTTAGCTACTTGTGTAAAACAGCCTCTGGTCGTCTCCATCCATCATTAGGAGCAGTAAGATGTTTGCTAAAATTGTCATACAGCTTTACACAACAGAAATACAATAATTCCAGTGTTTTAAACTGTCCTCTTGTATGATCTGTAGTCAGGTGCAGTCATGGCGGTTCTGGCTGCAGTCTGTGCAAAGGTGCCAGAGGCCAAACTAGGCATTATCTTCCTCCCAATGGTGACTTTCACAGCAGGAAATGTAAGAAAGAGACAGTATTTAAGTGTGTGTGTGTGAGTGCGTTATGCTAAGTTTGAAAAATAATTCCATCTAGATAAAACTCAAGAGATCTAAATCCCATGTGTGAATAAGTGAATGTATATGTACAGTACGTTGTTGTTGTTGTTGTTTGTCTGAACCATAGACTGTATGTCAAGATGGACAAGTTAAAATTTTCTCCCACTATCCAGAAATGATGGACCTGAATGTAGCACAGTAGCGATAACGAGGTCCCTTCGATACACACGCTGGACCAATCGTTAGTCAGTATCAGCTGTCAATCATGACACGTCACCCCAACTAACTTAAACCAAACCTAACAGACAAATGAGCACTTAGACATTTGCAGAGTGATAAGAACAACCTAAAACAACATAAACCATCTTTGAGAAAAAAAATTTAACTCCCACTTTGACTTTTTACTTTGATCCACATCCCATCTATTAATCTGGAGGAGGCAGGGCTTATGACCTGTCTGCAACCAGCCATTAGATGGTGACTGAGATGCTTTGGCTTCACCAACAGTCTTTGGTCTGTACGCATGGAGTTGTTGATGCACTTCAGTACAGCGTATGCAACTTCAGCTTCCTGTTGATGGTTTTTCATTAGGCTCTGAAAGCACTCATTGCCATAGATGCAGCTGGGCTTTTTCTGGGATGGCGGCTCTTTGACCATGCAGCTCACCTCGGCGGAGCCCTCTTTGGAGTGTGAGTCATTACATTTGAGCTTTTTGTAGAAGATATAAAAAATAGAAAACAGCATTCCAAATGCTGCATCATAGCCAAAGAAATGTCTTCACATATAAGTGTAAAAGTATCTCACTCTGCTGTCGTTGGATTTTAACCGTCTCCATATGTCGGGTTTTACAGATGGTACGTTGCATATGGATACAAACTCATTTGGAGAAAGAGGGAGCCATTTGTAAAGCTGTGGCATGACATGCGGTCTCCGGGTGCTGGTGGATCCAGGCCAGGAGGAGGGACCGGTGGTGGTGCGGGAGGACCCAGACCCCAATAAAACTCTGCAAGGTCCCTGGAGCCCAGTTACCTCCGAATATGCAAGGACACTTTTATCCACTGAGATGGAGTGGGGTTTCTACTGTTTATTATTAAAGATAGTTTTTCATTCGGGTTTAGAACAGAAGCTGATTTCATGGTATGCAATTTGAAAAAATGGTGACGTGATGTTGCACTCCAAATTTTTACTGGATGGAAAGATAGCGTCACATCAGCTGCCTCACAAGTAAACCCTTCATCACTCTCCTACCTCTTAATAATCTGAAGATATTTAACGCTCAACCGTTATGTCAGTTGGGGTTTTTTTTGCTGTTCACATAACATTAGCCCGGACTTTTTGTGACCAGGGTTGATCCAATCCAATGATAAAATCAGTGACTGAATTTAATGTGATATAAATTCCTTGTTGCTCTTATGTTGGTATTAAAACTGGAATTCCCGATCATTTTCTCAATCAATGGTTTGCTTTGAAGGATGATATATTTACTTCTGTGCAGGGTAACCTCTACCTTAAGGACAATATCTTTAAAATAAAAGCTTCTGCGTTGCCGTATTGTTAATGTCAGAAATAAGATGCATCAGTATTTCTGCCATTTTGCTTGGAAGTCCTGAAACTACAGAGATTTAGCAATTTCTTTTGAGAAAAGACACCAACCTCTCACTTTACTCTTCGATCACTCAGTTCATCTCAGGATCTGAGTCTCTTCCCCAATGCATGTACAACAGCCATACACTCTTTTCACCTTGTCTGCACCAAGCCCAGTTTGTTGGACAAGCACAGCCCCAAGAAAATTATTGGTGAAAGCAGTGTTTGCCACAAATGGCAGGTGAAAGTTGGGATGACCCTACAGGGGGTGGAGATAACAGGGGGATTTTGAGGGTCTCCAGACTTGACTCTTATTAACTGATAATGTAATTATGACCACAAATTACGTAAAAATAAATGGCATTGGCTTTATTTAACTATAACATGGCAATAAATATAAAAAAGAAGTCCATGCATGTGTAGTCCTGACATGCTGACATGGTTTAAATGTACATCTTACAATAATTGCAGACATAAAACTTTGATTGGAAGGTTTTTTTGGCCAAACCCATTTAAATTCTTTACAAAACTCAAAATCACACCTATTTACTAACTACAATCCAGTGAGTGAGTTGGATTTGCTTAAGGGAAGGCTGCTCTGGCAACAGTACAGTTTACCTTTTCAAATATGGACACGATGTGCGACTGAGGCATGTGTAGAAATGACTGTTTTGGCTTCGGTCAAAGGAGTCCATCATTGTCCTGCAGATGCAAGAAAAAGCAAGCAGAATATTTGAATCCAAACCAAATTCAAGGTGAAATCAGTGAACATGACACGTCATAAGATGAAAGTATTATTTATCAATCAGACTTACCAGATTGCTACTTTGCAATCCTAGTTTTTCTTCTTTCAATCCAAAGCCGTCTGCGATGTGGCTCCTCCTCAGCCTCTAGTCTTGTGGTTGGCATAGCTGGGGAAGCCAAACTGGGAGACCATAAGGTTGGAGAAGCAAAGCGGCATGACGCCATAAATCTGCGTCAGCCTGTTCAGACAGTAGGACCTCTGGAGAAGGTGTTCGGGACGATGCCACATACCCTGGTACCCGCTGCTGGCCTCCTTCTCCAGGTTGCGAAGGTCCACAGGTTTGACAAAGACCCCAGAGGGTTTGTTGAATCTGCCTACAGAGTTCAAATGTTTCCTCAAATACTGTGCTACGACAAAGTTCATAGCAATATCGTCGCAGTTCTGTGTTTCGTCCACCAGTCCATGCACTGCTTGAGGTTGGTCTTGGAAGAGCTGCAGGTATTGGCGGTGAAAAAAGGCAGCACCGATAAGCACCATGGAGTATCTGCAAAATAAATAAAATGGCCTTTTACGTCAGAACAAGACCAAACCACAAAGCATGGTGGTACATTGTATGATGCAGTGCATGAGGAGTTTTAAGAAAAATAAAAAGCTCAACTTACCTATCACCTCCAGCCGTTTCTGGATCCTGCAGTTCAAAGCTGCCATAACTGTACACTCCTCCTGGTGTGGAGACGTGTTTTCGGGGAACAAAGCCAACAATCTGGTCTGGGAATTGCTGTGGAGCCAAAAATGTGCATGATGCAGCGACAAGACATCCAGAATTCTGATGCTTTTCTATTAACACAATTAAAACTTGAGTAAAAACAACATGAATTTAGGTCCAGCATGTTTATCAGTCATTATCTCTGAAGCTTATTACCTTCCACACTGAGAAAGCAAAACTGATGTCAGGAACGCTGACCAGGGTGTCGTCATCCAGCATCAACACAGCTAAAGATCACATGAGAGAAGTCAAACAAACTCAGCCGAAAATATTTTTAAAAAGACAAAAGTATACATAAATATATGTTTGAATAATTTAAATGACGCATGCTCATAAATTTACCGACCATCAGTGTCGATCTCTGGGAACGATTGTAGTCTGTTGCGCATTTGATTACTAGTCTGCTCCTTAAAGATGACAGGGACCGGATGAGGACCCAAAGAGTTCCACAACTTCAGGGGTGTCTGCTCCCCAACGTTGTTCCACACTATGATGATCCGCTGCAGATGAGGCACTGCCTGGTAATGGTTGAGCAGCTTGAGGAGAATGTCCGTGCGGTTGTATGTTTGAATGACAATGGTGAACTTGTCCTCTCCGTCTGCACTGTTGCCATGTGAGCGATTCTCCTTTTGTGGTGTTGCACGGCGTAGCACTCCCAGGACATCCAGGCCTCCTTGGTCCTCTGCAGGAGGCAGCAGAGCCGTCAGGGCTGCACCCACCAGGAGGATAAGTAAGATTGGCCAAATCAAATAAGTTCGTCGGAGCCCCATGCAGTAACGGGGGACCCTGAAAGAAAGACATGCAGCAAGTCCTATTACAGTGCACTTCAGGCTTGACTGTCGTGTTAACTTAATTTTATTCCTTTTTACTTTCATTGTCTTATTTTTGCCTCCCCTTTTCTATGTTGCACTATTCAAAGGACCCACAAGTGAGTTAGAAAGCCAGATAACAATTGGGGGAAGATGCATAATGTCTCTGACTTTCTAGGAGATAGAGAAGAATAAAGATTATTATATGATGTACTTCTATTTTATTTATCATCTCATTTTTTATTTCTACATTTTCCAATTTTGCATCAGTGTATTACTTATGGATGAAGTATTTGCCTCTTTTGCTGGGGACCCCCCTGGAGACCCTCTAGGAACCTCTTTGAGAACCCTTGTTTTATGAGACACACGCATGTCTTTGCACTTATTCGTGTAAACACCTTCCTGGAATCAAACTGAGGATTCTTGCCCATGTGAGGTTTTCTGGACTCACTGGATATGTGAGAAAAACAACAACAACAGTGAGTTTTCCGGCTACATTCACAAACTTCCTCTGTTCTACAAGAAAATCGGATTAAATGTCACCTTTACACAACAACTGCCTTCTTTACTGACACCACCATTTTATGTTTTGTTAACCAAACATCTTACGCCGTACTTTTACAAAGCTTCCTCATAACAGAGCTTCTTCTACACATCGGTCTCACGACAGAAGCTTTGCTGTTTTGGTTTCCATTCGTTTTAACTCACCTCATTTTGTTGGTGCAGGAAACAAACCGCCAGCTTCACATGGCCGCCATATTGACTGCAACCAAAGAGCCTAATAACGGAGAGCTGTCACAAGCTAGCGTTAGCCGTAATGAGTTAGCCGGCTCCAAAATAAACTATGGCACTGTTAAATAAAACAAGAGGATTGTGTCCGTGTTTGGAACCAAACTCTTGCATATTCATATGACACTGTAGCACGTGGCTTGTCATACGTTTGAGCATATTTCGGGTTTTGTTTTGTTTTTTTGCAAACGGACGCCATCTTTGTTGGGGCTTGAGGTGTGGGTGCTCTTTCAGTAGATTTCCCCTCGGAGGTAAATCTCCACTGTTCTCAGAGATACTTCGGTAAGAAAACGCTCTTTCGTCATAGCTTCAAATCACAGCAGATGTTTCCTCGGTAAGTTGCAAAGCAGCGCATCTGTAACGAGCTTCTTTATTCACAGAGTCCGACCTTCTGCATCAATAACTAATACAAGTTATTCACACACAAACAAATCCTCCTTACAATCAAAATGAAGCAAACAACGAGCTACAGCACAATGTTCATACAAACGACTGGAGCTGCGTGGAAATAACGTTAGTTATAAGTAATTATGTGCAAAAAGAGGAAATAACATTAGTTTTTCGAATGAATATGCAGAGAAGTAAATAACATTATTTAATAGTATTTATGTGCAGAGGCGAAAACAGGGACAGTCTATAAAGTGCAACAACGAAAAGGGAAACCACAAAAGAACTTGGCTGCGTTCAGAAAGTCCAGATCATCTCCTTTCCTTACTACTATTCCTTTACCCAGATGGAATATGTCACTGGGTCAAGGAAAGATGTGAAGGAGAAGCTGTAAGGGGTGAGGAAAGGAGAACCACTTTGCGTTTTATTTAATGGATTTATACCAGAAGATGTGGACTGAAGGTCAGTTCTAATAAAGTGTCCTGTTTAAAACAGGATGACACATCCTGAGAAAAGATGTTTTCAGCTCATACAGAGAGAACATTCATCTATCAGTTATAGGAAATAAACAACAAAATAGATTGAATTGAACTCAGTAATAACTTTCTAACTCCTGTATAGTATACAATCAATTTTGATTCAAGGAAATTCGCTGAGTTACAGCAGCAAAGAGTACATTCAAAAATAGTCATCAGTAAAGTCATAATTAGTGCACATGCAAAATAAACATAACGCTCTAACCCATGAGCCACAGCATTGCATAGGAGTCAAATCATTTCATAATATACAGTCTATGAATATACCTTATAAAATGTCCCCAAATCTATGCTAGAGCAAATTTGCCCCAATAAATATTGTTGGATTTTCACCTTTTGAATATCTTGCACTTTGTAGACGGTCTCTGCGCACTCGCCTCGCTGCCGGGAGATGGGCGTGACTGTAATGTCTGAGTTCGTCACTCTGATTGGATGAGGCTTCGCTTGAGCTGTAACCATAGACTGTATATACCACTAACCACGTGTCATGTATTAGTTATTGACCCGTGAATCTGACTTTGTGAACTTTTGTCCAACTCTGCAGTGAAGTTTTTCTCCAGGTCGATCCTCACTGCGTTAAACAGGATCATGGCGTCAGTGCAAGGTTGTCCCACTGTCCCACTTTCCAATGGTTTGCAGATCCCGATATTTGGACTAGGTATGTTTTTATTATTTACACACAATGTCAGATTTTTTAGTTTTATTGAAAATCCCAATGAAATGTACACATCACATAACGCTGAAATAACGCACTAGTGCATGACTCAAACTTTATAATTATCTTAAATCCACTTTTTTCATTATTGTTCATTTATGATTTATGATTTGCAAACATTCAGACAGAAAAGTAAAATTGTCTCCTCTTATATTGACTGTATTTGTGATTGAAATGTTTATATAACAGATTAAACCCACTTTGGCAGTATTACGACCACATTCCTCACGGTCTTCTCTGCACTGTGTATGCATACACGTATGGACGTCTCTTCCTCTCACAACTATGTTCTGAATAGTCTTTAAATTATAAGCACATTTTGTGTATATAAAGATGGATAATGCTGAAACAAAGCTAAACTACCACGAACGCCATCATGTCGTCCATCTTTATGTAGATTCTATGGGCAAAACTGTTTCTGAACATGCCAATCCTGCAACAGAAAAAAGAACAAAAAGAGAATTGCTGTTGCTTTGGAAGGCCAACACTTTATCTCAATTCCAGGCACATCTCATGATGGTGGATACTCCCATGATGCCATTGTGTACGCACTCACAGAGTGTGGTGTGCGCCACATTGACACAGCAAAGCGCTACGGCTGTGAGGAGATGCTGGGTAGAAGTATCAGAGATAGTGGGCTAGCACGAAGTGATCTGTGGCTCACCAACAAACTGTGGCCAGGGGACTATGGATACGAAGATACAAGGAAGGCCTGTCTGGACTCCTGCTCAAGGATGGGGGTGGAATATTTCGGTATGGCCTGTGAAACACAGAGAATCGTGAAACAGAAACATAACTGAAACTGCTGTTTTGTAAGTTCAGTTTTCTTTATTATGATCGTCTTGTGGTGTTTCATTAAAATCTCTCACTAAATCGTCTTGCCTTATTTTCAGATCTGTTCATGATGCACTGGCCGGGGTCGCAGAAACCTGGTCGCTCCAACAGAGAGATGAGGGCTGACACCTGGAGAGCTTTAGAAGAACTTCATGAAGAAGGTACAGAACAAGGGAGCATTATGACAGAGAAAAGTCAGAAAAATGAGAAGTAGCCCATACGTTTGACTGTGTTATTGTGATGTAGAAGAAATAGAGTGGGAGATTTATGAGTCAGAACTCTGTCTTTGTTATTGTAGGGGTGTGCCGTGCTATTGGAGTGAGTAACTTTATGGTCCACCACCTGGAGCAGTTAAAGGAAGACTGTAGTGAGATACCACATGTTAACCAGGTAAGATTAAGATTCCTCTTTATTGTCCCACACACAGCATACAACATGCATACATGGGGAAATTTGACCTCTGTATTTAACCCATCTGTGTGAACACAGCACACACGGAACACACAGATCATAATCCACACAGTGACCACACGGAACAGCGGGCAGCCATGAAGGCGCCCTGGGAGCAATTGGGGGGGGTTCGGTGCAATGATAAATTAAAATAGGCAATCAAATAAAAAATCTTCAGTCAGATGAATCTGTACATTTTTGTACAAAATCAGAAAAGCTGTTGTGTTGTGTGTTTTTACTTTATGTTGAAAGAATGTTAATCTTCATTTAAAGACCACATTTTATTTAATTGCTCCCTTGTGAAATGTACCCAGATGGTATATGAAGATGGACAACATGACATCTCCTTAACATCTCTATATCGCCCCCTGGTGGCTTGCTGTAATATAAGTCATAGTCCATGTTAGCAGATGAGAAATATGGAAAGCATGCTTTCAAAAAACTGGGTTATGAAATTTCTGGTAGTTTGTGTTTGCTCTTGAATTTGATAATATAAAAAAAATATGATTGACAGCCTAAATTGAGGCAGGATTGGTTGAGCGGGTGTAAAGGTAAAGGATCTCTGCTGTGTGGATTTTGCCTCCAAATGACAACAACAATACAAGATGGCAGCATCTGTATCTGGGATACTTTGGTTTCATTGTTGTTCAGTGGGAGGAAGTGGAGACATGTCGTCCATCATTATACACAGTCTATGCATGATTACCTCCTCCTACCTGTCCCAGTAACGTTCATAACATGAAAAAGAAATGATTCAATAATTGAATGAAAAATGTCTTCACCAACATGATTCAGGGCAAACTGTGGGCTCCTTTCAGAGATGCTTCCAGAATCCTTGGTGTAATGTTTATCACAGTGTTGGAGGAGGCAAATTCTACCTACATACAGTAACTTCCCTATGATGTGATCTCAAAATGACACAGGTGGAGTACCATCCTTACCAGCAGACCAATCACGTAAAAGAGTATTGTCGTGAGGAAGGGATTGTTTTCGAAGGCTACAGTCCATTGGCCAAGGGTCAGGTCCTCAGCGACCCCACTGTCCTCCAGATAGCAGAGAAGTACAGACGCACACCTGCTCAGATCTGCATCCGCTGGAGTATTCAGGTTATACACAGACATTTTCTGTTCTAATCTCAACTGGGCCTGACACATACAATACTCGTCTGTGAATGCCTCTCAATTGCTATATCATTGTTCCTTTTCCCTTAGAATGGAGTTGTAACAATACCTAAATCCACCAAAAAGAAGAGGATACAAGAAAACTTTGAAGTAAGTTAAAAGTCTATTGCATCTTTTAAGTGCTCCAACTTAATATCAAGAAAGATAAATGACACTGTGACAGAACAAGGAAACAAGTATCACATCACAGAATACGTTTGAAAGTTAAGTTAACTCAAATGTATGTTAATGACAGTTCAAAAGAAAAACAACAAATGCAGGGGCCGCCTCCTACAGAGGACGCAAAGGCTGGAATTTCTGTGATCTGCGTCACCAGCCTGTCCCACCCTTATCGCTGTCGCCTAGCAACAGAGCTGCGACACCACCAGAAAGTTTAAATGCCCCATGGTTTTTGAACTTATGTACTGTTAGCTGTTGGGTTGAGTTGAAGCCTGATACTTATATTTAAAAGCTGTAAGCTAAGCATCTGACATCTGATCTTGTTGCTTGTTAGCACTGTTACCACTTTGAGAAACAGCCTGCAATGAATCCTGGGATAGGTTGGCCCAAGAAGGAGGTGTTTGTCAGCTGCTGTGATGCAATCAGTGTCACCTCCTCCTCCTCTACCTCTGCACACACAGGTGTTTGATTTCCATATGGAGGAGGAAGACATGGCAGCGTTGGGAAGATTGCACGATGGAAGACACGTCTCTTGGGATCCTACAAATGTGGAGTAGTAAAATGAAGAAAACACAAGGAGCATTTCTCCTGGTACTAATTTTGTCAGTAACAGCTTTTTAATATAACACCAACTTTTTTAATTGTTGTCACTGTTTGCTTCATTTATCTTAACTACCTTTTCTGGGAAAGTGCTGCAGATCTCAAGTGCTATGTAGAAATGTTAACTATAAGTGGTATTCAATTGTAATACTGTACATGAGTCTTTCATCATTTTTGTTTAAAAAAAAAAAAGCAATTACTAAAATAACAGCTCTCCACAGAGTACATGTGTGTGCTTACAGAAGTCATCAAGCTCCTATTTTTCAAATTCCTAAACCACACAGTCTATACCAGAGGCTTTGTGTCAGGGGAGACTTTTTGTGGAACAAAGAGAGACAGAGCTGGTTGGCAAGCAGGTTTTTAAACACAGAGGAATTTTGAGAAGTTGAGTGCTTTGCATGTTTGCAGAGGAGTTGTAAGGTCACTGCAAGAAACAGCCCATCATATAGTATACCATATCTGCCCAATAAAGGTGACTGTCAACAGTTAAAAAACCATGTATTACCTTTGTTGTGATAAAGCTGTTAATTGGGATCTCAGGAAGCCTCCCAACACACACTTCCCAGCCATTGAAACACTGAGAAGAACTAGTTCCGCAGGTTCAATCATATTTCCTCGGTCGAGGAATCATGTCATCTGCAGAAGGTTGGACTTGTCCCACTGTGAAACTTTCTAATGGGGTCCGAATGCCAATACTTGGAATAGGTAAGAATCATTTTCATTTCATTTTTCAAAACATTAGTGATAATAATACGACCTCATAGATAGATGTTTATGGGCCATTCCATGGAAATGTACTATGGAATGTTCTAAAAGAAAAGTGGGTGGAACATGACACTTACATTTTACTATTTCATGGTTTATATGTATTGATACATTTAAAACCAAAAAAGTCTAAGTGTTCACTGCACATGGATGTGAAAGCTTAGCAGAACTTAACTCTAGCTATTGGTTATCCCAGTTGAGGCTCTACCATAGCACCCTGAGATGTATCTTTGCACTGACTGCTAAATCATGGACTGTGGTCTCCAGGAAAACCCCAGCACACCCGGTACTTGTTTCTCTTTGGAATCCAAAGAAGCTAGCTGGACTTTCAGAAACTCAAGGAGGCTGTGCAGTGTGTGCTGGGGTGCCAAGGAGGAGCTTCAAAGGGGTTAATCAATAGTGAAGCCCACAAGAGGGAGGGGCTTGTACAAAGTAGAATTTGCAGTAGTTAATTTATTCACTAGGATTGGTGCAAATGTCTATTGTAATTCTATTGGGATACAATGGTAATCTCAATCTGTAAACATTAAAAGGTCAGTGGAACATCTCTCTTTCTCCTTGCTCCGTTATGTGGAGTATCATCCATTCCAGCAGCCCAATGACCTGATCGAGTTCTGCCGCCATGAGGGCATTGCATTTCAGGGCTACTGCCCTCTGGCTAAGGGTCAAGTCCTGAGCAGCCCCACCATTATCCAGTTAGCACAAAAGTATGGACGCACACCTGCTCAGATCTGCATCCGCTGGAGTGTTCAGGTAATAGGAATATAAATCCACTGGAACTGTCTTAGCAAAAAGAAAACTGTGTTACTATATATATACATATTCTTAGGACTGTCTGACCCATGTTCACCTGCTGTTCACATGGAACCCGTCTCCACTTGTATTCTTAATAGAATGGAGTCATTACAATATCAAAGACAACCAAAAAGGAACATCAGGCTGAAAACTATCAGGTGAGTTGTTAAGACAATACAAACTTGGAATGACTTTCTAATGTTTTTTTAAAATTTTATTTTAACTCCATCTCGCCCTTTTTATCCTGCTTCACACTGTTTTAGGTGCTTGGATTCCAGCTGGAGGGGGAAGACATGTTGGCTATAAACAAGATGCATGATGGGAGACATGTTTCCTGGGGTCCAACCGATGTGGACTAACACAAGGCACATTTGCTGCAGGACAAATAACTGATAAAATGATAGTTATCAGCTTCTTTCTGTCATATTTATGTCATTGTGAAGTTGCACATATTATGATTTCCCAAATTCATATTTCTAACACAATTGGATTGGATCAATATGTTTCATTGGAGGATGACATTAAAGTAACCCAGGTGCCTTGAATTTTTTTGTGTCTTCAGTACTGATTGAATAAATCGCAACACTGTATGATGAATACAAAGTGAATGGCAGCAGTCGGTTAGCTTGGCTTAGCACAAAGATTGAAAACATTTAAATGCACTTCCTTCAAATTCTGCTGGTGACAGTATGGTGTGGCTGAAAAACAAATAAGGTAGTAGACATGGAGTCAACTGCTGTTTCTGAGGTCAAGAATAAACAGACAAAGTTTTGGATGTGAAATATTGAAAGAAAGTTAAGTGACAACTTTTGTGAACTTTACACTGGGTAACGTTTCTCAGATGGAGCAAAGCTGCTTTTTAACTTGACCTCTGTCAAAATAAAACCATGACACAAACACTCAGAGTTAGCAATATCATTTAATCTTTCCCCCTCAGCTTAGAATCACTGTTGTACATAAGTTACACTTGTTTCCTCAATTTCACAGGTTCATTTTTTTTCTCTTCAAACTTCCAGTTTGACCTCCCTCTTGTATCAAACAAAAAAGCAGATTGTATTATACAAAAATGCAAACCAATTTTCACACAGTGAATTCTCTTACAAAGTCATAAAATGGCGTAATAATGGCTACATCCACATTGGAGGAAGATAATTCTAGACATTCCTTAATGGAGTATAATATACATATAAAAACGTCTTTTTTCTTGCTGAAATCTAACCTGTACCTTAATTTAAGAGATATTTTACAAGGGAGTAATCATATAAAAAAGCCATTTGCGTATTCTTCCCCAGAAAGTCAGGGAATAAAATGTGAGCCTCAAACAGCAGTAACAGAGTTCAATGGTCAAGGGTGGGAGTGGAGGGATTAACCGGTGGTGTAAGTTTGGGCGAGTGGGAGCAGTTCCCCACAGACAGAAAACACACAGCAGGTTGAAACAAACTTTTTTTTTTACCTACTTAATATACGAAACCACCCCGTAAGTCAAAGTACTGCTAAGCTAAAGGCGTCTCAGGCTCATTCAGAACTGCACTCACCAATCAGGTGGAGTTGACATTGGGATAGTTTTGGTTGACTTGCACTTTAAGAGCGAATGAGAAACCACATATTGAATTAACACCCTGTATTGCCAATTCTTTGCTAACCCCCATTTCTCTCTTTTTACAAGTCATTATATTAAGTATATGACAGCGGAATTAAGCTCGCCAGCTGATTTTGTGAGAATAGTTGTCCATTGCTCACTATTGTGTGACTGTCGCTCAGACACTCCTGTATCTCCCACGCTTTTGACTACACCTCTGGTCAGATGATGCATTCAAGACTGTAAGACTTGCAGGTAGGTAAATTCACTCAACTATTACAGGAAGAAAAAAGAAAGAAAAAAAAACTACAAACCCAGCTAGGTCAACAGCATTTCCTTAAAAAAAAAAAAATACGTTAACATCTTTTTTTTTTAAACCTTTGGAGATTTGCGATATTTGCATTGTTGGCGTTTTGTGATGATTTCCAAAAAGGGGGGCTGGGCTGGCTAGAGTCCATCTACGTGACTCTAAATCATGCCAATTCAGTGTAAATTTTGAAGTCATCTCAAGCTCCTGGAGCAAAAAAAGATAGGGGAGCATTACAAGAGGATTTAAGGCCAACCTTTCATTAGAGACTTCCTGAATATCATTGAGGGGTTGGGAGGAGGGGGGTGTGGGAAAAATAAACCCCAACACTTTCTAATACCTCAACACTATCACCCAGTACAGCACGCTTTGAAGGGGGGGGGGGGAACGTAAGTCAGGGTACATTTTCTACAATACAATCTAGCACACACAAAACTTCTCCATAAATTTTCCAAAGTTACAGAATTTTTGTCTTCTTTGGAAGCATAGTCTATAAAGAACATCTTTGTTTGAACACAAACGATTAAGTGAAAACACATCAATGCGCACAGAGGTCCTTCGTCTGGGAAAGGATAAAGTCTGTGTTGGCAGCCAGTGGACAGAAAACAAATCAAACAAAACAAACAAAAAAAAAAACATTTTGCTGATTCTAAGTAGAGATCATTTAATATAAATGCTGAGCGAGTAGAATAAGAGGTGGCACGTTAATAGTGCTTTAGTATATTAATGTATGTATACATACTCATATGTATAAGTGAGCTGTGTACCTAAACAATAAATGAAGCAAGAAAAACCAGAGGCTTGAAGTGTAGTTGGTAAACTAAAACAGAAACAAACAGCTGCTATCAATGCGCTACTGGAAGAGATGCTCATCAAGCAAACCAGAAGAGGGCGACGGCCACAAAGTGATTTGCGTCTTTATTGAACTGATGACTCATCAGTAATCAGGAATTTCTCAGTTTCTCAGTACCCATCGTCCGACCGCACCGGTGAACCAACGTTAAAAATAGAACGACTTGACCCAGAGCATCTCCTCCATCCTTACAACCGTTCAAGCACAAGGGCTCTTTTGCTCTCATCAGAGCTGTAAAAATCAGTCATGCTCATTGTTTACAGAAGGCAGAGAGCTCTGTGGTGAGCATCAGCGGTAAACAATTTGCATGAGGGGAAAGAGGAATAATCTTGGAATGGTGGTGATGATGACAGCAAGTTATGAAGAGACAAACGTGTTTAAGTGAGCAGGATTATTGTACTAACCAATAATGATGCTTAAATAAATTTAATACAATATCAATAATTAAATGTTATGTTCATTTTGTTTACCCCTCAGTAACCAACGACTATTATCTATTATCCTCAGCTGTAAACATAACTTTATATGTACTGTGCAGCTAAAAACACTACAACAGTATTTATTTAACAGTATAATTGATCATTCAGGACAGAGAGGGACGTTCATCCAGTTAAGTTATTGGTGCATTCACTAGTTAAGGCTTCACCCACCAAAATCATAACAACGCAAAGCATGAAAAAATATAACAAAACTCAACAAAAGACACAAGGGAAGGCAACTTCATAGAAGTTAGGAGAACAAATGACAAGATAATCCCAATGGGGAGGCCTTTTGTGTGGCTAGATGAGACGCTCTGAGGAGGGAAAAAATTATTTATTTAACCCTGACGTTATAAAGTCAAGATTACACTCATTCACCTGACTACTGATGCAGAAAGATGTACTCCACCCCTTCTCCTCAAAAAAAGAAACAAAATTGATGTGAAATATTACATAACACTATCAGCCAGGACTGAATGCAGTCCGTCGGAGCAACAAGAGAAAGGTGTTGTAAAACAACCACATCAATTTAGACTATAACCGAAAGAAGCACTGGTCAATTTCCATCATAGAAAACTTGTGGAAAGCTTGTTATCAAAAAGGACTTGTTGCAATCTTTAAAACAGAATGCTTTGATGAAATATAGAATATACTGCCTTCAAGTACGAAACAGACGTATGATGTGTTCATAAAATGCACTAATAAAAAAAATGGTACTTCTGCTGCACAAGGGTGACAATCGGAACACCTTGAATCTCCATTTTCCGCTGAATACTGGTGGAACGTCATACTGCTTTTCCCTCCTCAGACCATCCGGATCTGCGCCACCACGTTTTTTTTACGATTCTGGGGGTGAGCACCAGGCGACACACATCTGATGTTTTTTACAAAACCTTCACACATCATGACTGTGGGAAGAGAAGTTCCTCATAGTGCATGTGATGTGATAGTGCTTGATTTGCTCCTCTGCGTCTAACCGTTTATTTACATGTATGCTGGGACAACTGAACAAAAAATCTTAATGTGGGGAGGATCAATCAAATACTTGACGACATTGTTGTGTTGAAGTCGGTCTGAAGTTACGATAATATTGTCAACATCACCACCATTTTTCCCTTCCTGGTTTATCTATTATCCTTGTTAATCTAAAATCCCAGTACAAAAAAAAGAAAAAACAAACAGAAACACACAAGAAATGTTATCATATGCCCTGGTTTCCAGGCAAGGAAAGTCATTAAAAAAAGCTCATTCACAGAACAAAAAGAAAGAAAATTCATATCACGGCAGATACTGCTCATCTTCTAAATAGAATGGGTGTATGTGTGCCTGTGCATGCTTTTCAATCGAGCATTTTGGGTGTGTGCATGTGTGTGTGTATGTGTGTGTATGTGTGTGTACTGCCTAAGAGCAGGAATGGACGACGCCATTCTTCTGCATCTCTGAACCTGTGGCACCTGGGTCAGAACACATGCTCAGCGCTGACGTCTTGTTGCTCAGTGACAGCATGGACCCGCCTACTGCACTTTCTTGCAGACTGCTGGAGCCGTTTGACACCTCGCTGAGAGGGGGACAAAGGACCAGAGTGATAAGTGGAAAGACGCCAGGCTAATTCATGGAATACACATATATTCAAGAAATATACACATTTATTTCTAAGTGTGTACACTCACCCAAGAGCCAGGGAGATTTCTTCCAGAGTCTTGTGCTCTGGTTGTCCATTCTCTGAAGGTTTCATCTTGTACTGCTGAACATCATGTGCTACCTGGTTTTCCTGGTTTGGAAACATACACAACATGCTTGGTTGCCACTGTTGCGAGTATATGCACTTTTTAAAAGTATTTACATGGTGATTTGATAATTTATTTATATAATGTATATTGCCCGAAGATTAAGATGTAAGACATTACGGAACATCCATACAATTATTTCTCCCTACAACAACTTCACTCGCAATGCATGGTTGGACTGTACGGTACCTCCTCTTCTTACCATAGCCATTTCTCGGGTTCTTTTGCCGATCTCCCTCTCCACCTGGTCGAGCTCCATGCTTAGCTGTTCACTGGAGACAGCAGGTGCAGTTGCTCCCCCTGCTGGCCACTTGGCCTGTTGGTGCTGCTGAGCTGCTGCTGCAGACTGGCTCTGGCAGGGCTGTACAGGCTGACCTGCCAATGCACTGGCCTCCCTCTGCAGCAGTAAAGAGTTACTGGCAGTCTGTGATAGGGAAAAGGGAAATTAAATGGATAACTAGCAATCAGTAGTAGAAGAAATACAGAACATGCATATTTCAGTGTAATACTATATTGAGACAATAAACATATTTTGATATT